GAGCCCTAAAGACCTATCTGTTCCAAGAGGCCGGTCTGGCATAAATCCGAAATTCTAAAATTTTAAATTGGGTATAATTTTATATTATTATAGTGGGTTTTAGGACAGGACAAATAATTTAATTAGTTTTTAATATTTTTAAATATTATGGTATCGCTGTTTTATTAATGTGCCTGTTCACCGCCCTGAGTCCCGCAAGAGAGAAGGGCGGTATATAAATCAAATAAATTGAAATTGAAATTGAATTGTGCCTGCACCTGCATGTTGACAGCCTCTGAAGCAGTCACATATGTGACTGTTTTAATGTTATAAGGAAAAGTGATTTGCGTATACTAACATACTTTGCAAAGTGTCCATTCTGAATGCTATTTAGGGTACAATTTAAAAAATTCAAAAGGAAACAGCTGAAACAGCAAGGAAAAATCGGTGACACAGCTATTTCTACCAAGCATCATGAACACAGAAAAGAGACCAACATGTAAATTATATGCAGAAGAATTGTAAATTTATATTTTCATGCAAGACATCTATTATCTGCATCATATCATTTTGACATTTCCCATTTTTTTTATTCTTTATGCTTATATGTTACATATTTTTATTCTTTATGCTTATATGTTACATATTTTTATTAAATGGCAGTAGTCTTTCATTATATAAAACAGAATATATTTAAAACCACAGGCAAAAGGAAAAGGATTTTATACTGAAATAGTGCTTGATGCCATTCGTAAGTTGATTCCTCATGATATTTTTAGTAGACCAACTACTCCAGGTGTAAATAATCCAGGATATTAACAATGCCCTTGGTCTGGAGGGGACCATTATCTGAAATATTCACAAGGATCTAAATTTATATCTAAAGTCCATTTGTGACACATTTTAGGTTTCAAACATTCTGTAAGTAAAAAAAAAAGCTTACTTTCCAATATTTTCAGGTAATGCTTGAAGAGAGATATCATTTGCAGAGAGACATGTTAAATTCTGTAGTTCAGGAAAGCTTTCGGGCAACCTATAGAGAAAAAGTAAAACTTATCTTTGAAAATGACAAAGGGTAAATTCAGTTCTCTGGACATACGCCTGGCATTATTAATGTTTCAAGTTTATTTATTGGAAATAGTATATTTGGTTTTAGAAGGAAGTTTACAAAGCAGAAAGCAAGCACTCCTGGAGACATGAATAGAATTAAAACCATGTATCCACAGCAAGCCTTAAAACTCTACTCTGTATTAATAATATGATAAAACATGCTTAGTTTGTCACAAATACATGTGGATATATGATTTAGAATTAACTGGGTCTTTAGAAAGCTATTGTTTCCAACGTGGTCTCCCTTCCCTTCCCTTTCATCCTGCCTTTATTATTTTTATAAATAACTCAAGGCATTAAACATACATAATGTTCCTTCCTCCTCCTCTTTCCCTCACAATAACAACCCTGTGACATGAGTTGGCCCACCCAGGTGGCTTGCATGCCTAAGGAGAGACTAGAACCTGGGGTCAGCTTAGACCAGACCAAACTGACTCTCTTCTTATAACTGTTTTTCCAAAACAATATAAGCAAGGATACTGATGGAATCTGGAGCTTATTTGGGGGGAGGAATGAAAAGGCTAGCTAGCCTTGAATTGCTGATGGGGAGGAAGTGGCTGAAAGGTGATCTGCCCTATATATAGCCTTGCTGTATTTATCTAGTAATTTCTGCAGTGCTTGCATCAATCTAGTGAGATTCCTGTCAATAGACAAGTAGCCATTAAACATATTACTCTGATCAATTCCTGGTCTCATTTCTGGTGCTTTGTGCCTGACAGATATTCTCTCCTACACCCATGTAATAAAGGTTGGTAAGGAACTACAAAGAACAAATTATTTTTTTAAAGTAAATCACTACTTCACTGAAATACAGCAGAGCTATGCCAATGAATCCCAACAGACTAGCCAAAGTCAAACATTAAACATTTATTGGTCTTTCATGTGATGACACTGACCGCCCTATGTAAGAGCTCATTTTAAAGCTGGGACTCCTGCATATTAAATACCAGCTTTCAGAACAAGGATGGACAACTATTTGATGACCAGGGCTTGCAATTAAAGGTGGCAGAGAGAAAAGTAAGCCAAATAGATTGGGCAATTATGCAAAATGCACTGAGCCACCTCAGCCATTAAAAACATTTTTATTAAAGTTCTCAGGGACAGAACTTTGGTTTAAGTGCGCCAAACCTATTTTCAAAGGCACATAACTATTTTAGTGAGTGCTCCACTACAATTGGAAATGGTCTTTTGGTAAGTATACCCTGAAAGTGACAGTGTGATCAGAGAGGGGTTCAGGGACCGTGAAAAAAAAGAATGGATTGGTGGCCACAGGTTGTCTGCATTGGCTATAACTTCTTATGAAACAATGAATTGCAACTGCTTTCTTACCACATGAGATATTGTCTCCATGGAGCTAATTTATCACTCCTGTTCTTGATACTTAATAGGAAGCAATTAGCTGTTGGTAAGATGGATTGAACAGGAAATATTCTAACTTGTCTGAGCTACACCATTTGTCTCAATCAGAGGAGAACTTTTAATGAGTGGGAGGCAATGAAGCACCACACCACACTGAATCACCAGAGAATCAGTAGCATCTGCCAGCCAATTTTCTTTCTGTAGTTCGTTCTCCAGGACAAATAGCAAGTAGACATCCCTCAAATCCATTCTCAGCAGCAAAAGTAACATTTCATATGGGGTTGGGTTTTTTTTTATTTTCTGGAAACTGCATGGTCAAACCAATAATTGAACACTGAGATGTCTTACTATCTTTCGCTCAAAAGTATCCCTCAGAACTACCATTATATACATGTGCTAATAAATTATTAAATAATAATCCTGAGACATCCCTACAACATCTGAAGCTGCCTAAGAATTTTTATGGATTCTATATCATTAGTTCCAGCCAGCTACTGCAGATTGCAGGTATCTGTTTCTAAATCTTAGATGTCCTCAGGTCTATGTAGCGTGAAGCTTTCCCCTATACTTGTCAATGTTGAGGTTATATTAATTCATCAATTAATGTTTTCCTTTTGTTGGTGAGTTTAGTACCATCACAATTTTTTAACAAGTCTGAATGCCATTACATTCTTCCTGGGGCAATGGCAATTTCATTTAACTATAAAAACCAATTTTTCTTTAGTGGAATCAAATCTATTATTTGAAGAAGATATATAAAACCGAAAAAGACAATTTTACATTTTTAAAAAGTTTGGAAAGGATTCATAGTTCTATAAATTATGAAGATTACCTAGTAAGAGGATTTCCACTGAAGTCTGCTACCTGTAATGATTTGCAAAATGAGATGCTTTCAGGGATTTCAGGAATATCTGTAGGAGAGAAAAATCAGATATTAATTATCTGACTAATATTATCTCCTGCAATCAGAAAATCAAATGTTTAAGGTCCATACTTGCGGATCCAAAGAGAGTCCCTATTGCAATGCTTAAGCTCAAGACCAGCATGTCCAAAGTAGAAGTAATAGCAAGGTTGTTAGTAATTATACCATATATCGGTTGAAGACAACTCTCTTTCCTAATGGCCTGGTTCCACTGATTCTGAAACATGATTACTTATCACCGTTGGGTTAGCAATGAATTAGTGATTGAGATGCTCCGGGCTTGCCATAGACCTACTTCTCTCTTTTGCTTTTGACCAGGGAAAAAAGGCAGTCCCTCAAAATAGCTGAATGATACTAAATACCAAATTAAGGTATTTCCTATAAGAGCAGAATGCTAATACCAAAAAGCATTTGTCAAACTACAAACTACCTACAGGTATTAACTTTTCCCAGGCTGAATAAGGACTTTTTTGAAGCCAGTAATAGGCTTACATCTGCAGGGCAGATTCATCAAAAGGTCACTAACACAGAGGTCCCCAACCCCTAATCCGTGGACTGGCATTGGTCCGCAGCATGCCAGAAACCAGGCCACTCAAACAGTGAAGCCACATCTGCGGGATGCAGGCAACACACGAAACCACGTCTCCTCCGGTCTCCGGAAAAACCTCTCTCCACGAAACTGGTCCCTGGTGCCCAAAAGGTTGGGGGCCACTGAACAGAACCCACCCATGTGAGTCTGAGGAAATAGAAAATATCTTAACATTTATTGTTTCACTGCAACTGTATAGAAATCTGGACCAAAATTACATACTATCCCTGCTGCAACATCTCCAGAAAGGAGAGAAGAACATTATATGAACCATCTTATTGTGGACTCCAACCTTACTTTCACCCACAGAGTAGCCAAATTCTGTGAGACTGCAGTGAAAGCACAGCAACAACTAGGGCAAACAGGATTAAATTGCCAGTCTTGTATTAATTCTATTTCATTAATTTTACCTTTCTGGTTTTATCTTCTTGAATACGCTGTTCTTTAATTGTAATAATAAATTTGTTTTAATAATGACAAATTAATCATGATTTTTACACAATAGCATCTAGAAGAAAGAGATGGAATAGACTTGATAAATGGAAATCAAGCTTTAACAAAAAAAGAAAGCATACTATTCTGTTTAGGATTCAGCAGTACAGGTTGACATACAACCATAATGTTGCCCGTTACATTCGTATTTCATAGTGGTCACAAAACAGGTCGGTCATGTGATCTTCGTGGTGTCGTTAAGCTACCTCTGTGGTCATTAAGCAGCCCCCAGGGTCATTAAGTGAACCAATGGTTTGCTATGGAATAGTTCTGCCAAAACCCCAAAGTGCCAGTTTTTGCAAAACCATTTTAAAACATGGTCACATGACTGTGGGACACTGCAAACAGCTGTAAATGTGGCTGTGTTGCTGAGTGTCCAAACTATGTTCAGGTGATCATGGAAGGGGTCCAATTGTCAGAACTATGAATCTGAGTTGTATAGATCGAAGTTATGATTTGGATTAATCATAATCATAACTTCGAACAATTACCAGTTGTAAGCCAAAGACTAACTGTATCAGGTTTAATATATGAGTAGTCAGAATTCCATACATCAATCATAGAGGAACATAGCTTATTTGTTTTACATTAGTCATAGGCCTGATTCACATGTCACATTAACCTGAGGTTTGTTTAATCATGATTTATTGAATGAACGGAGTGGTGTGTGCAGCATCTTAAATCATGAGTGGCTTGTTACACCTGGTATGGACCTAGTCACAGTCAGCACATACAAGTGGTATTAAGAAAAAAAACAGCTTTTACATAGGTCTAAAATATTCCAAGAATTTCATATGTATTAATTTGATCATCTTTAGATAACTCTATAGTAACTCAACCTATTATTGGCACTGCGTCAAAGAAATCAGGGTCTATATTGTGATCACAAAGAAAGAAATGCCCCATAGCATAGCTTCATTTTATATCATTTGCATCCTGATTGCTTATTTTTATTTTTTTAAAAACCAATTAAACTATAAGCCACTTTTAGGTTTTCTGATATAAATCTAATAAAGAAATAAAATAAATAAATTTAAAACTTTTCATTTGTATTTACAATTTTCACTCCCAGAGAACAAATAGATTCTGAACACTGTCAACATGTCCTAACAAGAATTTTTAACACGTTATTCTCAGTTAACAACTATAATTTTAAGGGAAGTAAATGTATCAGGATTTGGCAAACTCTTCCAAAAGCCAATAGTTAGGGGGGTGGGGTGTTAACTAGAGTAATAGGGGAAAAGTCCTATTAAGTATGGGTCAAAATAGATGTGCAACCTGCTTATAAAATTCTGTGCTCCAGCTAACCAGGTCAAAGAATGGTGGTAGTTAATCGATTCCATTATCTTGAATGTGCAGGACCCTTTCTGTCCTACGCACCACAGAATGCTCTTATTTATACATGTGACTGACCAGATGCTTTGGCAGTGGATACCCTGGCACAGCTAAACCATAAGGCTATAAAGCATAAGCTCTATGACGCAGGATGGTGGAAACAGGCACTCTGTCAAGTGAAAAGTTAGCATGGCTAATGTGAAAAATGCCATGCAAGTAGGATTATAAATACAAGGACACATGTTTCTCTCCAGGAAGAATACACTTAATTCTGGGAGAATCACAGCTAAATTGTGAATTGCAATCACAGCTGAAAACCTACCTACAGTACAGGATGGGAGCCTACTAAGAGGACAGTCTGACATTACTACTTCACACTGTCTCACTAAAATCCCACAAAATTGAACCTGGTAAGGGAAACACCTGTTATCTGAACCAAGATAGGGAAGAACATATGCCTTATCCAGCACCCTTTCTCGACTTCCTGTAAAGTTTCTATAAGCAAAACCTAAACCCCACCGTACCCAGATGCAATTTTTTCCCCAAATAGATTTAACCCCAATATAAATTTATACTTAAAGCTTTAGATAACTTGTAAAATAAAATTGCACAATGGCTCACCAGGGATTATTGCATTCTTTACCATCCTAAGCAATGAAAGCAGAGAATGGGAACAGGAAAAAGAAGGGAAGAAAAATTCCCCATGCTAGGCTATTATCAACAGAGATAGTGTTTCTTGAAAAGAAGTAGCAGTCTTTTATGAAATTATGCAAAACTAGTTTAGAATGTAGAAAAGGACAACTAAGCCATAGTGGCTGCAAGAAATATTTTAGTATCCTTCTAACCACAACAGCTTTATTAGGACAGCTCTAAGATGTTCAGATATATTTATTTTAATATATCAACTTTAATTACTCCTAGTTTGTAACATAACATAACGTAACGTATCGTAATGTAACAACATAACGGAATGGAATGTAACATAACATAATATAACATAAATATAAACAGTCAAACACTCTAAACATCTCCATTTTCCAAGGAATATATATGTTTTCCTTGAAGATGGAGACAAGTTTAAGTACAGATGGATCTCTATATTGTCAAACATATAACAGTTCATCCTTAGAACAACAACCACACTTATGAACCTAACTTAAATGCCACTAGGTGGAGCCTAATATGGACATCTGATTCTCTTCCCAGATTTCTAACCATTATAGATTTAAATAATCTATAGAGATTCTGGATTTTTTCCAGACTTGTATTATTCGAAGTAAAATCTGATTTGTACAACACACAAAGCTGTTATGATTAGATTTGGTATAATGTCTAAACTAGAACTAAGTTGTGTGTTAATCTGTACTTAAAGAAAAGCAGTGTGACATGTTTTGCTTGGTTAACCCAATGAAAACAAGGTCTGACATCTATATACCACTAAATACTACTAAAAGCTTTGGTGTCATGACCTTTAATTGGGCAAAACAGTGCACCATAGGGCAACAATTTTTGAAGCAAGATACTTCAAATGGACTAACTTAAAGAATGTGTCCAAAATCCAGGATCCGTGATTCCTGAGAGAATGAAATTTGGGGATGTTGTGGTTGCTTCCATGTTACTGGCTGCTGCTGTGCTATTACTGTGGTCGTGTGATCTTCAACTTTAATGTTTCCCAACCAATCTCATAATCCTTTACTCTCTCCTCCAACCTGGCAGCAGTACTTATCTGCCTGCTGGCTTTAGATTTGCAACTTCCTGCTGGCTTCCCCATTAACTTTCTCCCTGCAAGTTTCCCACAAGCAAAGTAAATGGGGAAACCAACAGGAATTTGAGGAAGGGGAGGAAGGGAGAGGCAGAGAAGGAAAGAGTATAGCTGTGAGGAAGGAATGGAGAAAAGAAAAGTAAGAAGGGTAGAAGGAAGGGAAAGATGAATCAACAGGGCCTGTGTTTTCTAGTATTATCTAAACCAGACCACAGGATGGATGATTTAGGCTTGATTCCTCTTTTCAGCCTCCAGACATGGAAGAAGTGGAATACAATGTAAAGAAAATGAAAAGAAAAATTCTGCAGGTATTGTCAAGTCAGCACCCTGCAACTTAATTGGGAACAACCAGAAGACTAATGAGCTAGAGAACCCCTTGTCAATTCATTATGGTATCCAAACTAATACTTCTCCTTTAACCTCACAGGATATTTTAGGTAAACACTCCAATAGGCATCATTCCATCTTTAGATTGTCATGTTAAAAACTAAAGGTAATGGTTGTTCTAAACTCTGACATCTTTTCTGCTTTCTTCAGTCTCACACTCAGAGCAATGTGATTCTATCTGAGATTCTCTCACTTCTCAAATCCATATTTTTGTTAAAATTAATCTGGATCAAATTAACATTTCTAATTTTGAAGGATTTTCCTTGTTATACCATGTGAAATAGTCAGCTTTTAAGGATGAAAACAGTACTAGTTTCAGAAGGGAGCAGTACTTGTTTGCAAGTACTTTTTAAAAGAAAATCTGCATTTGGCAGTGCAAATGTGTAACAGATTCACAAAGTATGAAATCAAACTGGGTAGAATATACAATTATTTCTGGTACAAGCTTGAAGAACTATTAGTAACTAATAGTTACTAATATCTATTAGTAACTAATATCCGCTATTAAAAAGTACTATGCTTCATGGTATTTCGCACAGAACATTTAATTAATACTTTGTTTTCAAAGTGAATATGCTTGTATGTATATGTAGATTTATATCTACATATACATACTCTCTTTGATATTAAGAAATATCCTGGTTTAAATACCACACCCTTAATTATGCTACCTGTAATACCTGTAAATGAAGAAGTAGTTTTAATTATATACAAATAACTTGGAAGTAAAGAAAGTTCCTAAGAAATATCATGTACTTTGATATTTCCAACATTTATACTAAAAAAATAAATCTGTGAAGCTTGACTGTATTTTAGTTGTGAAACTAATTCGTTGAGAAACTTATTAGTGCAATTATAAGTACAAGACAGCAAGCAATACACAAAGAAGCTCATAATGATATAGCTGAAAATTAAAATATTACACTGTGGCCACATTTAAAAATGCCTAAAATAGAAAAGGCTTACAGCAGAAAAAAAATAACAGTTATAGCAGAATAATAGAGTTGGGAGGGACCTTGGGGGTCTTCTAGTCAAACCCCCCTGCTCAAGCAGGAAACCCTATACCATGGTTGTCCAATCCCTTCTTAAAAATCTCCAGTGATGGAGCACCCACAGCTTCTAAGGGCAAATGCTCAATACTAAGCACATTACTCAACAATTCTTAAAATGTGCTCCTTTAGTCTCTTCAGTAAAATATCTACAAAACTTAAAAAAAATATGTCAGTAGGATCACCAACTGGATGATTTCATTGTAACATATCACTATATCTACAACAGCTAGCAAAACCTACTTCCAGCTATCATAAACCCAGAATTTTGTTCAGGTAGTTTCCAAATTTAGACCCTTGGGAAAAAAAAGGAATTAGAGAAAGTGTAAGATAAGTTATAAAGATCAAGGCTACATATTTCATGATGATTCATGAAAGGAAATGCAATAGCTATCCATATATAATGAATATAGTAAAGGCTGTTCATGCTTAGCCAGAGAAAGACAACTTCTTTTAAAAATGGACATTTTTCTCATGGTTCTAATTGTTCCCAGCTACTTTCTGGGCAGGGCTGAAATGAGCAAACGATGGAGAACTAATTCTCAGAATCTTCTTCCTTTAACTGTACTGTCTCTTCTATCTTCCTTTTACATCAGGCTGCAGGAGAACGGCTAATGTTTATCAAATTTCTGAATGAATAAAGTTATTCAGAGGGTTTTTTTTTTCAAATTAAGCCAAGAAAGACAGTTAGATGTAGTGGCTGCAGTCCTGAAATCGGACTAGGAAGAATGCAGGTTTAAGTTTGTCTTCTGCCAGGGAAATTCCTTGTGTGACTTTAAGCCAGCCAGTTACACTCAAGCCCATCTGCCCCATGAGGTTGTTACTGTGGGGATCAAATAAAGAGAGAATTCTGCATGAGAGCAGAATTCTGTGAGCTCCTGGACAAAAGGTGGGAAAGAAATCTAATAAACAAATGACAATAAGAGGCACATGTGATCTAGGACCACAGATTGTCTGCCCCAGTGATAAATGAATACTTCTGAACTCAAAGCACAAAGGAGAACATTGAAAAAAAATAAAAACAGGCATGTAAAATTAGATGGGTACTTGTCAAGACAAAAAAGATGCTGGGTCACAGTAAAGAATTTAAAGAGCAGTTTCTTCCCTTCAGCGATTTCCAAAAGGTAGATTTATGCTTGTGACACCAATATCAAATAAAATGCTAATCGTTAGCTTGTAGATTGCAATTGTTATTAAAAACAACAGGAGAAGGATACTTGCCTCCATTGTTGCTTTAAATTATTGTTTTTTAATCTAACACCCTCAAATATACGAGATATCAGCCTTTAATGTGGAAATACTATATAAAGGGGAAGTCTGGTTTAAATAAAACCTGGGTAGGCTTTTGGTTATATGATTCTCAGCAATATATTTAACAACTGTGGATGTTTTAAAATGATCCCAACAAAATTTATCTGTCGATTTTTTTCTCATCGATTTCATGAAAAACATACAGTTTATACAGTCTATCCACAACATTCTTAGACATGATGCTCTGAGGGAACGTGACAATGAAAATAATGCTAACCTCTTCTGGAATTAAGGTATGTTCAGCACCATGTTTTTTTTTCCATTTGTTGGTTCTTAACCTCATATCAAGCTTTAATTAAAAAAAAACTTTTAAACTATGAATTCCCCTAAAAATCCATTAAAATAAGCTTTCTCCTTTTCTTATACAATAATATGCAAAATGATGCAAAATCTAGACAATGACTGGGTTTATACGACATGCTTATCAGTGTTTAGTAAATAATTCACAGGTGCCTGAGTTGTAACAAGACACTACGTCCCCCCTTCAACCCCCCCCCAACGGCCTTGTTAATACCATACACCAAGAAAAAACTTTTTTAAAAAATCCCATTATGCAAAGTGTGAATCCAGGCATTTGATGAACGTACTGCATAAAAAGCTTGTCCAATCCTGCAAAGTAACTGCTGTTGCTCAAATAATGTGGATAGGTGGCAAACTCTGCATGCCACAGTTAAGCCAGCGTAAAAAAGGCCGTCACAATGCAGGGCTTGGGCCAGTCTTAATAGCTATTCCAACAGAAAAAGGATGTACATGGAAAATTTCATGCCAAGCTAACATGGGACCTAATTACGTTAGCCAGGCCCTTCATTAGTTTGTTTTTCATTTGGGCATTAATAGTTTGTTTTTCCAAGTCAGTCATGAATAGTAAGAAGAGATACATTAACCTATTTGCCAACTAATTCTATAATGCAATAATTAAGGGTGACTCATTTTCAACCATGCTGTAAAACAATCCTAATACAGATTTGCATATATTCATGCTTACCATTTCGAGACAAATCAAGTTCTACCAGCTGCATGAAGTTTGCTATCTCTGGCGGAAGTCGTTGGATTTCATTATCGCTAAGCCCAAGTTTTCGTAATTTTATAAGTTGAAAAAAAGGCTGAAAAAGAAAACAATTTTCCATTCAATACATGCACACACAAAAAATAGGTAATTTTGGAGCTTCGTGCGAAGAAGGAAGTTTTAATAAGGACAAGAAGAGTGCCCAACACTGATGAACATTTAGCATTATCCTGTTACTTGAATTTGTCATAATCAGCCCCCATTTCAGCTTGAGAAGAAACAAATCAATTCCAAGATCAATGTGAGGCAATATTATAGATTCTACTTTGGTATCATTATCCCATGACCTTTTGTATAGTCGCATATATCAGTGAAATCTGATGGACCCCAGGGGAAAAAAACAATTTTAATTTTGCCATGTGACCTAGCCAACATGTGCATTCATATCATCACTCATTTTCATCTCTCTCTGTATGCGTATGTTCTCACAGATGAGCTTCAGTATAACTAAAGTCCACCTCCATAAAGCAATGAATTTCTTACAGCATGTGTTTAAAAGGGAAGGTAATGTTGGTAATACTGTATTTGGCATTGAAATAATGCTCGGCAAAGTGAGAAAATAAAACGAAAGAGACGTTAGTTAGGTAGCAGTCCAAATATGGGTAAAAATGTACTCTGCTTCAAGGCCCATACCTGTCAAGATGCCATTTATCCATCTATCTCCCTATCGGCTCGTTCTGCTTCATCTGATAAGTCAGCAGTCTTTGGTCCCATCATTAAGACAGTGACATCTAATGCAGTGGTTCTCAACCTTTTTAATGCCGCGACCCCCAACCGGTCGTAAGTCGAGGACTAAACCGGTCGTAAGTCGAGGACTAAACCAGTCGTAAGTTGAGGACTACCCAACCGGTCGTAAGTCGAGGACTTTCCCTGCCCGGGAGCGCCGCGCATGCGTGGTTCCGCCCCCTGCACTGGCCGAGGCATAGCTGGCAAGTGGCAGAGACGGAGCAGGCCGACCACCAGCTGGCCCAGCCCAAGGGAGGTAAGGCACCCGCCGGAAAAGGGGAAAAAATGGCGGACAGCCTTGCTTGGTGACCCCCGTGAAATGGTCGATCAACCCCAAATGGGGTCGCGACCCATAGGTTGAGAACCGCTGATCTAATGGGATCCAAAAATATTGCCACTACTATTCCTCTCCTTTGGAATGGCATCCCCCAGAAGTCTCACTTGTCTCCCATTCTTGCCTGAAATTAAAAAGTCCTTAAAATTTTCTCCCACAGCCTGCTGGAGTTTTTGAAGGGCTCTGACCCTAGATGGAGCCATTTTGGTTCTCTGTATCACCCAATGGCTTTATCTCTTTTTAATACTTTATACTGCCCAGAATATATATATTTTTATTGAACTACCTTACAACTCAATAAATACATTAAGTAAAATAAGTGGCACTTATGCTATCTCAGGTTGCCAAAAACAATCGGCAAAATGACATAGAAGTAAATGTATTATAGCCTGCCTTTCTTAGAGCCTTCCCACAGCCAATTCAGCATGTCTACATCACTTGTACAATTTTAGGACATTCACTGGCATGTCTACATCACTTATACAATTTTAGGACATTCATATTTAGACTATCATTGAGATAAGGTATTATGTGTGTAGGGTGTGTGCATGCACACGGAGAATATCATCTCACAAATGAAGATACAGATCGCACAGTTGATCTCTGGATTTTATACAAGTGATTCAGGCCTACTTTCACCACCTATAGGCTTGAAATTATATGGTACATTGTTCAATTATTACAGCCCACACAAGGAGCACCATGTAGCTTTAATAATACAAATGTGAGCTCATCTCCCCACAATGAATAGGGTACTCATAACACAGAGCGTAAGAATCACAGAACCAGACGATAGACTTTTATTTGTCATTTTTCTCATGCATCATTTGTCTTAAAGAATTTTTTGTATAGGGTGCTAACAGGGACCAGTTGAGTTCTCTGTTAATGAAAAACAAACCACACTAACTTCAAGAACACTTTTAGACAGAAGCATAATTATATCTGTTAGTATTTCTACAAAATTATGACTCTCATAGCCTGATTTTAAGACTATCCAAAGGCATGAAGAAAAGCATTACTGCGCAACCAGCAATCTGCGAACTTAAAGCTCATCAAGAGTTTACAATTAAAATTATAGTACCTGCCAGCAGCAGATCCCATGTTGCCTCTGCGTGAAAGACGAATTCTTGTCTCTCTATGAATGTCTCTCTTAGAGAGATAAAGATAACATAATGGTGGATAGGTCCCCAAATTTTATTTCAAATAAGCTGGGACATAAAGAAGAAAAAAATAGAAAAAAAATAAAAAGATAGAAAAAATATAATAAAAAAGAAAATATATAAAGAAGTGACTTCCCCCTTTATCACAAGCATAAGCAATTTTAGTAACTTATCACCTTTTCTTAAAATGCAATAAATGATCTCCTCTTCCCTTATCTATCAACAAATCATTGTCATTTCAGTCCTGATATCAGCAAAAGTCCATTAAGGTTTACCAATGATAACAATATGTGTATTTTAACCTTGATCAAATAAAGCAACTTTATATTCCTTCCTTCTACTTCTTGTTTTTTTAGTTCCTTCAAATAATGTTCTAGAACCTCCCAACTTTGCTTTGGAGGCACCCAGAGTAGGTTATAAGATGGGTGTCTATATAAATGTTTTCCAGATTACTCTCTTGGTTTGTTATTTGTATATCCTTTTAATTATTAAGACGTCAGCCAGCTACTTTTGCACATCCAGTATAACACCTTTTTCCATGTCATTCTTGTGGCCCTTCATTTTTAAATAAACTTTCAAATCAATTTAATACTGTCAGGTAAAACTTGTTTCTCTTCCATAACATCTTTTAAACAGTTCATCTATAAGACAAACAATCTTAAAATTATTTTCTGAGTTTATATTTCAAAAATATTCTTCTTTGTCCAATATAAACATATTTTGCTTTATTCTGTAACTGAGTTTGATTATGCTCCATTATCATAATCTTTAGTTCTTTCTAGTGTCCAATTCTTCTCTTATTATGTTTGCTTAAAAAAATTAAAACAAAAGCATTTTTGCATTCTTACAAAGTTACAATTAATTCCAAAATGTTATTTCAAATTTATTTCAATCCTTAGTCCATTTGTAATTTTCTAAAATCAAAGTTTTAATCAACACTTACCATTTAAAGTAATCAGCAAATTTTTTAAAACAGACATTCTCAACTCTTATAACTGTATTGTTATTACATCTACCAGTTATTTCCTTAATCATAGGATTTTTTTTCCCATTTGCTAAAAGAGACATTTCAGGATCTTCATACCATTCAGTATATTTTAGCAAATGCAATGCATTACCAAATTTTGACTAAAAAATATTGCTTTAAATAATATCTCAACCTTTAATTTTAGAGAGTTAAAAAGATCAGTATGAAACAGTGTTATAAATAACTATTAATAAAAAAGACAATAATTATTAAGGGAAAAAACAGCTCTTGACGGTTGAATCATCTATCAGTCTACAGGGGAAGGATAGAAACACTCAAGTTACCAATTATATATTCTTACAGTACAAACAAAACTTAATTCTAGTACTAACCAAAGGAACAAGTCACTACTAATTTTAATAAGGACAAGAAAAACATTCTGCCAATCATTTGCTATCCTTAAATGCAATAAATCCCTGCCTCTAATCTAATTTGCAAAAAAATTCAATTTCAATCTTGGGTTGCACATTAAATTGTATAATTATGAGACATAGAAACTAGGTAACTGTCATCCATGAAAGAAGATAAAGTTTATAACATGTGGTATTATATTGCCCCTAACAATCTTGATCCTAATTTTACTGATCTCGGAAGGATGGAAGGCTGAGTCAACGTTGAACCAGTCAGGACCGAACTCCTGGGAGTGGGCAGAGTTAGCCTGCATTACTGCATTCTAACCACTGGGCCACCACGGTTCTTATTCTATTCAATAAGCATGGCTGGCTCAGGAATTCTGGGAGTTGAAGTCCACGAGTCATAAAAGAGCCAAGGTTGCCTACCCCTGCCCTAGCTGATGAAAAGGACCTGGAATATGCCTCCTTGCTAGGGCTGGTGGGATGAGCAGAGACAATGAGAGCTCACCAGTCTCTTGAACCACTCCTGGATGCCTACTGGGAACTAGTGCAGCTTGCAGAGCATCAGTGTTATATGAACACAACAGGAAATGACAAAAATTCCCCACGGCGCTGCATTCTGGACCATCTGCAGCTTCCAAGCACTCTTCAAAGAATACTACCCCACGAAGAGCATGCTGCAATAATCGGAGATGTCTAAGGCATGAGGCACCATGAACACCAGGAGATGTCTTACGGCTGCCACCTGCTCTTCAAGTGAGTTCAGGAGGACCCCAAAGTTGCATACCAACCCTCACCCAAATGCAGAGAAAACTAAAACAGTTTAACATTTTAGCCATTCTAAAACTATCTACCACAGTACTCGACTGTGTGTTCAGCACTTACGATTTTTTTTCATATCTAAGTGCTTCAGAGATCTATTATTTTGTGTTATAAAACTAAAAGTAAAGTATACTGATTTCAAACATTAACTTTTTCTATGCATGGAAAAGGTTCGTGAAAAAAAATGTCTATACTTTTTAGTATAGTGTAGTTTTCTTTAAAATGAATAACTGCCGCATAAACAGAAATCTTCTTTTTTACTATTTTCTGTTTAGGGATGGGAAAAGTCAGGGAATGTATGAAAAGCCTCCTTTCACTGGAGCTAAGAAATAAAATGTTCAATAATCTTTCTTTCCTGAGAATGATGGAATGTTCCCACAAGGAATGCCTTCCTTGATAACATAAAAACAGAAATTCCATAAACACCTCTATCTAATAAATCTCTGGAATAGCAGATGAGGTAAAAGTTGATTTCTATCACTAGAGCTGAATGCAAAAAATGCCTTTTCTTGATCCAGATCCCATATATTTCCTGTAGAAACAAACTACTGGAGTCCTTGGTGCTCTCTGAGCTCGGTTGTTTTCTTGCAGACGTTTCATTACCCAACTGGGTAACATCATCAGTTGCCAAAAGGGAGTGGGGCTTGTACTCTTAGGATCCTGCAGTTCAACTCTGAGCTACAAATATTCTTTTCTATGGTCCAAACTACTGGGCATCACACCCTGATGCTTTTGCAAGAGGTAATTTATAAATTGACTATTTCCAAAATTACTCCAGCATATAAATTTTCTGGAATCTATCAAAAAAACATTGTGAGATAGAAGAAGCTCTCTCTCAAATAAGCTTTTACATTCACAAAATTTGATGCAAACAGTAGTCTTATTGTGGAGATTCTTTTACACACACAAACAAATAAAATGAATATGATTTATTTATTTGTTTGTTTGTTTGTTTATCAAATTTATACGGCCGCCCATCCCACAGAAAGTGACGCTAGGCAGCATACAATAAATCTACATCCAAATGATCAAGATTTTATTAAATATCTGGAACTTCTCTTAGGAATATTCTCTCCCTGCTTCCAAATCCCATGCATAGCTCTACCAAGAAGTAGATATTCTTGTCCAAACCCAAAGAATTCCCTGTTTCTTCCCTAGAACAGGTCATTCTCCAAGGGTTCTGTACTGCTACATATTCCAGAATAGCATTTTACTCAGCTTCAGCATCTACAAATGATGCATTTGAGGCTTCCTTACAGCTCTATGGAACATGTAGTTAATTTTTTGAGCAATCAGTTGGGACTTGTAAAATGTTGTTTGTTCAGTCATCCAAATAGATTTTCAGATGTAAGCTGCTGTTAAAAGGGGATACAAGCCACTTAGATTTTTTTACTGGTAGGTTATTTGATCAAAAATAACTGGAGCACCAGAAATAATGATGCTATGTATTTGAACACAAAAGAGATGTTTCTCCTGTGTGAGAGTGTGGGAAAGGTTTTAAAATGCTGGATGTATTTACAGCTTTTATAAAAGACACTGTTGTAAATAAACTAATTGGAAAACTTGTTCAAATTAATTAGATATTTTTTTTAAAAAAAATCGATTAAATTAAGTGATCACTGCAAACACTGCAGTCCTATGTCAATAACTTAGCACATGTTAAACTGTCCAACTATATTTTACACACAAAACTAAAATTCACAGGATAGAATCTAGTGTCATCTAAAATCTGCTCCAGAAGGTCTGTCAATTTTACAGAATAATTTTTCGATGTATAGAGAGTAGAAAGGAAACAGAGCAGTTTACCGAGAGAAGCTGTTCTTATCGGCTGAGAAATACTGAGTAGATTTACATATGACACTACACATAGCTCTCAACTTATGACCGTTCGTTTAGCAACTTTTCAAAGTTACAATGGTGCTGAAAAAAAAAGTGACTTATGACTGTTCCCCAGCCCTTATGGCAATTGCAGGGTCCCCACAGTCACAAGATTGAGGTGCTTGTTAACCATTGTGCATTTACTACAGTCCCAGCATTCCCCTGGGTCATGTGACTACCATTTGTGACCTTCACAGTTAGCTTCTGACAAGCAAAGCCAATGGGGCGAAGCTGGATTTGCTTCACAACTGCAACAAAAAAAGGTTGTAAAAGCAGGCACAGTCATGTGATGACTCATTTAACGACTGCCTTATTTACTGATGGAAATTCCAGTCCCAACTGTGATCATAAGTCAAGCACTAACTGTAAGCCACTGTTAACAAATTAACACTTGACTGAATTTAGGTAGGCTGAACCATAACCATGGCTTACAACCATAATACTACAGGAGGGTTTATATGAAACACTATTCACTTACTGCAAATGTTATTGGAATTTACTTCCCACTGTGTTTACATAAAAACTGCAGATCAAGATTTTGCAGCCATTTCCTTTCTCATGTGATATGGTGCCTTACATACTTAAGAACAAATGATAAAGCCACAAAAACCATCTTTCCTTAAACCAGGACGGACTAATTTTGCAATCTGTGTTAAAGCTAAAAATGATATTATTTTCTAATTTAGACTGTTTGCAGAGATCTGAAGCAAGCAAATAATTGCCAAATAAATTTTAACAGAGAACTGAATAGAAAAAGGACTTTGAAAAACAAATCAGTAACTTGGAACTGTAGACATATTCTTAATAAGGTAAGAAGAATAAATGTGGAGCTAGTCCATATTAAAAAGGAAAATATATTTC